TGGAATATTTTACTTTTGATCTTTACCTTGTTTTTTATATCTGATTTGTAGTAGGTCAGGCTGCTTTGTACGGTAGATTTTGGTAACCCTGACTGCAAAAGTACGACTGTTTCATCTGAAGCAGAATCTGCCAGTGCTGAGTATCACGTGGGTCACACACTGACACCATTATATGGAAAACTAGGCTTGGAGTAGGTAGGATGCAATCCGCTTTGGGTTCAGATAGAAGGAGGAGAGGCGGTAGTTCAGGTCCCTTTGGCGCCAAGGGGAATGTTTCTCTGGGTTGGAATAATGACCACGAGCATGTCTGAACTCCACGTGGTGGGTAAATGTACAGAAGGCAGGTGGCACAGATACAAATACAGAAGCCTGTGTGTAAAAGAGCTTAGTAAGCATCAAAAATAGAAAGTGAATGTTGTGGAAAAGATTTTTTGGGGAAAAATAATAACAAAAATAACGAAATGCTAGACTCATGCCTCACTCAGTATAAAAGAAAGCATTACAAGTGAAGTATTAAAGCTGCGCTTGCAGCGTCGTTTATAATAGCAGACGATTCTGAAAGTAGCCCGAGCACGCGGCGTTAGTGACACAGGTAAACGCTGTGGCGCACTCCGTGTGATGGGACGAGGGCGCGGAGCCCTGGTGTGACTTGGGCCGGTGCTCGCTCCACGGCCGTGAGCCGGGCGTCGTGCAGCCTCTGGCGTCAGACGCGCGCGCACGTGGCTGCGTGAAACAAGTCAGTCGCGGCGCTGGCGGCGGCGGCTCGCGTCCGCAGGAGTGCGGGTGGTGTCTGGTTTTTCCCTTTGTAGATCCCGTGCTTCCTAGTTGCCGGTGGGGCGGGGAAACGAATGTGGGCGGGTCCTTCGGGCCAATTCGGTGACTTGTTGTTGCTTCTGCGTCTGAGCGCCTGTGCAGGCTTACTGTGCGCCCCTGCACATCCCTGTACCGTGCGGGGGAGGACGTTCTAGAACGGGGCGCGGTGGAGGGATGGCAGCAGCTTCAGCGCTGCGGAGAGAGTCCCCTCGGGCCCCGGGACCGGGGGCAGAGCTCCACGGGAACTGCCCCCAGCTGCAGATTGAACCACTGTCCCCCATCACTGCAGACGACGTGAAAATAAACTGCCAAGTGAACTTACCGAGCCGCAGCCGTCCCGGCCAGTTCAGTGCTCGTAAAGGACCCATAACCTTTACGATTGTAATACGATTTCCAGGTGAGAAGCACAACTTACCATTAATCTTACTTTTCAGACGTGCATGATGTTTGTGAACAGAATTGTTCCTCAGAAAGCACAAGTCCACCCGTGACCCTGGCAGACGCCCAGAAGTCACACGTGGACGACTTGGGGCACTGTGTGTCCTTTGCGGGTGTGACTCACAGCACAGATGCTGACATGAACGTTGTCGCAACCATCAGCATGTCAGACAGCAACACCTCAGCCACAGCAGAGCCTCGTGGGGCGTGAGCAAGGGCGAGCCCCTCTCTGCCTGGGACGCCATAGGGCATTTCCTTTTTTATTTTTAAGGAGTGCATCATCTAACCTGCCTTCCTCTATTCGAGGAACCCCCCCAACCTAATAAGGCACATGCTCCCTCCCAGCGGAGAAGATAAGAACGCCAGCAGCCCCCGTTCTGACCTGCTTTCCATCTGACGTGCGCTCCTGGCCTAAGCTCAGCCGGCAGCTGTCTCTGCCCCAGATTTGCACGAGGAATGAGGAACAGGGAAGTGGGCATAGCGGGCCTTCCCTCCCCGCACCAGTGCCTGGTGTCTGGGTGTCACTTGATGGCTTTGCTGTGACCACGGGTCAGCCGGGCAGCCTTCCCAGCTGTGGTTGCCTATCTGCGAAGCTTGCTGCTCAGATCAGGCAGTCAGGTTTCTGCTTCTGCAGTTGAAAGTGCTGATTGATGCAAAAGCTGTGTGCTTCTGCGGTGTTGTGCATGGGTCTCCATGAAACGGCACTTTGCAGTCAGCACAGTGATAACTGTGGACGCTCAGAAAGGGAAGCTGTGTCTGACCAGGCAGAGGGTTTGGCACCCAGTAGGCGTCCTGAGCGCTGGGAGGAAGGGCTGCCAAAGAGCTCAAGCTTGTTCTCTTAGGTGCAGACTTTCATGCGAGGTGAAGGTCTATTTTCCTTTGTACAAAGCCTGACATAGCACATGCAAATGAAAGTAGTAAATTGCTTTGATGGTGGCACAAACCTTTTATCAACCAAACTCCAATACTCCTTTCTAAACGATCGTTATCATGGAAAAGTAACAAATACTCATTACAGACACCTTGAAAAACACAGGAAAGAGTAGTGACTCACTGTTGGTACAACTCTCTAGAATGTGCCTGCAGTGAAAGGCGGTCACCAACTGTATTTCCGCGTTGGGAGGTACCCCGAAGGGGCCCCATAAACAGTGCCCCTCCTGTCTGCCTCAATTCTGAATTACTTGAGAAACACGACAAAGGATGTAACAGGTGGATAACCCGCACTGCTGAGGCCAACAGTGGAGAGCGCGGTGTGTGTGTGGCCGGAGACCGGGCCCCAGAGCTGGCCTGCCCCGCCGTCCTGGGGGCACTGGACCGTGTGGACGGCAAGGAGGGCAGATTCCCGCCTCCCACCTCGCCAGGCACAGAGGTCCCCAGGCTGGGGAGGAGACGGGTGCTACCAGGGGTCGGACCAGCCCTGCCAGGCTCTGAGAGCGGCGTTTACCCACGGACACCAGGCTGGTCGGCTGAGTAAGCAGTTTGTGGTGACATAAGAATGACTTTATGTTTGGTCTTGAAATCCCTTTACATTTTATTCGGTGATAATCATCTTCTCATCCTCCCGATGGAGACCTAGGTGGGCCTCGTTACATATCCCCTCACCCTTGGTAACAGATGGCCCTCTGGTCATCGTAAACCACAGAAGGCGTTTAGTCCAGGACACGTAGCGCCCCCCCCCCCCGCTCATTCAGGGGAGGACTTCTCTCTGTGATGCCCTTGGCAGGTGAGGGCCTGCTTCCCTGAGCGTCCCGACTGTGGCCTTCGTCACCAAAAGCCCTGCTGCATTAAGATGTCACGTGTCACTGACCATGTAGTGGAGATTTGCCACCAGACAGTGCAGACCAGAGAATCCACACTGTTGAGCTGGAGTTAAGAGACTCGACACCCTTGCCGAGGAACAGAGAGCCTCTCTTCATTCACGAAGCACGTGACTGTTTCAGTTTTGCATCTGCAGTGACTGGAGGTTTCAGGGTGTTAGGGGTGTGGTGGCAGAGCCAGTGCCAGTTATCAGTCCTCATGGTGCTCTTGACAGTGGGGATTTCCCGTCTGTCTCACTGCCCAGGAGGTTGTGTGGCATAGTCCGTCATCACAGGAAAGGGCCAATGTCTTAAAAAATCAAGCTTTTGTCAGGAAATTAACAGGACTCCTACTGGGTGCTTTTAACCCCGTGTTCCCTGCTGTCTGCATCTGAGCCCACGTCTGTCTCACGGCGTGGCAGCTGGCAGGCTTAATATCGGTGATCTGGGATTATTTCAGTTATGTGATGTTTAGTATACGGACTTTTAAGTAAGCAAGAAATACTGATAATAAAGATATTAATACTCAGCTGCCTGGGACACTGTATTCTAGAACACCACCACAGTGCAGGTTACTGATACTTGCCTGGACTAGGATTGGGAATAACAGTTGGCTCTATCATTAGGAATTCAAGAGAAAATACATGAATACTTTCAATCTGTGATTTGGGGAAAATTATATTTAAAAAAAGACGCGTGTCGGTTTACTTACCTGTATTGTAACTTTTTAAAACCCCTTGATGCTTTGGAATTTGGGCTTTCTGCCGACTCTGAAAGTAACTGCGGTGTCTTCCCCACGTGGCTTCTGTTCTACAGGGTCATCGAGCTGCTGGGCGGCAAGCAGCTGGTGATGAACCACATGCACCACGAGGACCAGCAGGTCCGCTACAACGCGCTCCTGGCCGTGCAGAAGCTCATGGTGCACAACTGGTAGGTGCCTGCGATGCCCTGCTGCCCAGAGGTTCTCATGGAAATAAATGCTCGGATGGGTGGTGGTTTTCAAAGCAGTGATTTTGATGACTATCTAGAAATATATTGTAGCCATTCAGAACATGACATGATCACTTAGAAGAAACAACTGTACTCGTGTTCTGGAGAAATGTGCATTCAAAGCGCTGGTATGGAAAGCGGCTCCAGAAGTAACTAAGAGGACCTGGTGACGTGAGTGGCTCAGTTGTTTGGGGCTGAATGGGAGTCAGCTGGACTGTGGATCAGAGACTCCGCAGTTTTGCACGGTTCAACGATTCAGCTTATGCGTTACCCGAGTGGATTTTTACCAGCTCACATGAAGATGCTAAAAGCTCAGTTAAGGTCCATCTCTCACATTTGATTTGTTTTAGCCTTTTGCTGTTGACATAGCAACCAAAGTCATGTCTTCCTCTTGTTTTTATTTTTTAAATCAAAATGATGGACCTTTTTGTGCCCACTTAAAACAAGGTAAGTTAAGAGTGACTGCTTAGATACACGGGTGGGCCACTGGTGCACATGAGCGAACCACCCAGGACTCTGTGTCACGGCTGTTTTGACAGTAGGTTGGAAGTTCATTGCTTTCAGCTCTTTCCCGAACAGCTCAAGTGCCTCTGTTCCCACCCTTTGGACGGATGCTCTGGTGCAGGACTGTTTCTGTCAAGGCACAGTGAACAGACATACCCTGCCTATGACTGACAGTAATCCTGCCAGTAGTTCCAGAGGAAAGAACTGATGGCTCCTTTGAATGCGTGCATTGGAAAGATGCAGGAAGTCCGGCGTAGGAGAGGACCCGGGTGTCCGGGCTGCTGAGCATCATGTGTTGTTGAATGTTGGCGTCTTGCCCCTTCAGTCCTTTTCTCTTGAATACTGACGTGTTCCCTCGGCACCTGCTCTTCGGGCACTTAGTTTGTAGCCTGTCCGCCAGGCGCTGGGTGATGGGCGCAGTGGGAGTGGGTGATCAGAGGTGGCCTCGCCAGTCGGCTGCAGCAGCTCAGCGGAGGCAGCGACGATAAGGAACCAGCCCTGCAGCTCAGGTTTGGGGATCAGCATTTTGGGTGGAGGGGGTGGGAGGAGAGAGACCAGGAAGCAAGGATGAGTCTGGCTCTTTGAAAGCATTGTCTGTTTGGAGACGTATTTGATGTGACAGCTGGGGGGGTGGTGCTCCTGGCACCTGGTGGGAGAGGCCAGGGATGCTGCTGGGCATCCTACAGGGCGCAGACAGCCCCCCGCAACAGAGCCGTCCTGCCCAGTGTGTCAGTAGTGCTGAGGGTGAGAGAGTGACGTGAAGGATGATGGGCGAGGAGAGGTTGGCGGGGTCTGATCGCAGAGGGTCTTGTAGGCTATTGTTTGAGTCTTCCTTTCGTAAGATGAGTTAAAAGCTCTTGTAAAGGTTTTAACAGGGAAGCCACAGGATCTGGTTTATATTTTGGGAGGGTCTTGTAGGCTGCTCCGTGGAGGATGGATGCTGAGTGTGGGAGCAGGAAGGTCCTCCTTGTGGTCTAGAGGAGGGATGGCCCGTGGCTGGGACTGAAATGATGGAAGTTGAGATGCCGAGAAGCAGATGGACGTGGACTGGGTTTCAGAGCCAGTGCTCATGGCACTTGACGGACTGAAAACGTTTCTTACTTTTTTCCTGTTGTCAGTGCAGGAAGAATGAGATCAAGGCAGAGGCACTCAGTTGTGGTTTTTATCTCCTGTGTAGCGAAGGGAAAACTTTCCTGTGTGTCAGGAAAGTAGGGAAGACTCCCCTGGGTCCTGCCCTTGGTTCACTGTACCCCGAGCTGCAGTTTTTAACATAAATTACTTAGTAACTTTATATCTCTTGGTTTGTTTCTGTCTCTTTCATGAAATTGGTTTAGAGAATGTTGGCATTTAGTAGAGTTTGAGGTGGTTGTGATCCGTGAGCTTCTATCTGATAGATCTTCTACTAAAGTTTCTGTTAAACAGTTTTATTTTTCCCTTTTGTTGAAAGTTGAGTTGCTGAATAAAAACCAATCTCATTTTAATAGTTCTTTCTCTTGAATTTGTTGGGTTTAGCTTTTTAAAATGTATTTAATTAAATTAATTAATTAATTAAATGTGTATTTCTAGTGTGAAAAAAGAGCTGAATGTGAAATAGGACTCTTCCCTTTGCCAGTGGAGAAAATTTTTAAGAATTTTTTTTTGTTGTTCAGATGATCATGCATTAAAGATGAAACATTTAAAATTTGAAAAATCTTCCTTGAATTTAGGAACTTGATTTAGTCTCATGGTAAATTTTTTGATATATGATTACAAAAGGCAAAGTAAACGTCTTTATAGCCAGAAACTGGCTTTTTTGCTCTTTATCATTGACTAGCTTATGAGAGAATGCCTCCCCCGACCTGTCTTATCATGTTACCTAATCATGCTATCTTATCTTTAATGTTTTAATTATGATAAATCTCCTTTAATGGGGAAGCTTAGTGTCAGTATTTTCCTGTACTTTCTTTATAAAGGAGTTTTCGTACAGTGAAAGATTAGAATTCACATGTGATCTATAGCTTTTGTTGTGATGTGTACATTTCTGTGGCTCTTTGTGCCAGAGAATGAAAATAGCAGTTTATTTCAACATCAGATTAAGTATGAGACCAAATAAAATGCCACTGGGAAAGTAGCAGAGCTGTCCCCAAATGTGAAAGGTTTTGCATCAGTATCTTTGTGCAGGTGACCAGGTTGCCTGTAACCACTCCTGCCGGTGAAGGCGGCCTTTCTGCTCCCCTGGAATAGAGGCTCTTCGCCCAAACCACAGCGCTGGCGGCCAAGGTGTTTCACACCCAATAGAACACGAAAGCGCAGTTGACTTGGTTTCCTCTTGGCATTCTGTGTGTTTTGACTTAATTAAAATGAATTTTTAGAAATGGTGTACTTCAGTGCTCGGCAGTAAAATAAATCAGTTGAAGATAACTAGAATACAACCACGGGCAACAGAGGAATGAAAGTCTGCCTGGGCGGCGGCGGCGGCGGCGCTTCCTGGCGCGGCCGCACGTTTTGTGTGTCACTGTTTTGCTCTGAGGCCCTGCTGTCAGGTTGCCAACACGTGCTTGATTTTCTTTTACTTTTCTTCATAAATGAGTTTTAAATTTTTGATATCGTGGTATTCCCAAAGTTTCTGTTGATTAGATTAAACCGTAACTTTGGAGATAGTGAAGTTAACATTTCTTTTTTATTGTAGGGAATGTTTTTATTGCTGCTTTAAGTTTAAAATAACATTTTAAGTATATACTGGACACTTACGAAATCATGGAACTGGGTTGTCAATGGATTTTGATTTAGATTCTGCTCTAAGGAGTTAAATATTCCATTTCCTGGTAACGTACAGATACATTTATCTCTGGTTTGTATAACATGAATTATTGAGTTTTATATCATGTGAAAATATTACTTAATTCCTTTTTTTTTTAATAGAGGTACTGGGGATTGAACCCAGGACCTTGTGCACACTAAGCATGCGCTCTACCACTGAGCTATGCCCGGCCGTCACGATTTTATGACTGATTTCAGAATCATTTCTGTGAACTGCAGGTCTTAGAGTAGGCAGCGTTTGTCCCTTCCACTTGACACCTGTGTTTACGTGGAATCATGGGTTGCATGTAGCCCTGACTGATGCAGGTGGACGTGGGGGACAGAATGGAGTTGCTGGAGAGGGAGGCAGCTGTGGGTACACGCTGGGTGCTCCGGAGTTCAGGGGACCTAGAGCTGGTCAGTCCCACCCCCCTGCCCTCCTCCTGGCTCTGATCTCCCTGTCCCCACAGTGCCTGGTATGTCCCTCTTCTTTTTGAGCTGGGCTGGATGTTTATAGTCATACATTTGGCAACATATATAACCAATGACAGCTTACTCTAGAAAACTTTTATATGGACCCTCAGTTTACACGTTATAATTTAACATCATAAAATGTCACCGTTTTTCTCCTACAGAACAATTCTAAATGTAATCAGCCTCTAATTCAGAAGCAGCAAGATGTGCGTATGGGCAGCTCAGGACTTCAGGAAAGAAACACTGAATTTTGTAGATAGAAGATCTCATGTAGAATTTTCTCTTTGTTTCCAGATTCTTTTTCAACCAATGTTCAAGCAGAATAGTAAGTTCTATGAGTGTTACCCTCTCGATCTTTACATGTAGGTAAATAGTGTAACAGAGAGGTGCTCCCCGAGCCAAGGGTCTGGGTGATACTGCTTTATTCTCTGATGTTTACATCTACTTAGGATATTTTAGTTATTCCGTAAGAACACAGCCATAAATGCAGTGAGTAAAACAGTTACTTATGAACAGAATTGAAGAAAAAAGAAAACCCAAAAACCCTTATGTAAGTTTAAACATTTTAGCATTAATAATCATGTTACTAAAACATTCCATGTGATTTTAAATAAACATATAGCACTTCCAGATTTCTTTAATTGAATTTCAGTTAAATTTACATTTTAATAGAATTGCGCAGTGATGCAGTTGGCACCTGTCCTAAGTGTAAACCCCCTTATGTGAGTTAAACGAAGTTTATCCCCAGTCCTTAGCTTATATTTTAAACAGTGAATTCAGCATGAAGGTACCAAAGTGTTAGTACCAGGCCAGTGGTTTCCTAACAGATGGTGTTTCTCACGGCGACACAGCGTCGGAGCTCTGGGTCGGCTCCCGGTACGGCTCCACCTCCAGAAGCTTCTTGCCTGTTTTCCTTAAGGGTTAGGTGTTCGTAGATGCCTGAAGTGAAGACAGTCTCCTGGAAGATTTTTTCCTACCTTGCTAGAAAGCCTAGAAATATCTTATGAGGAACATTTTAGGCTTGTTCAGACACTGTGCTGTCGGTCCATTCGTGTCCAGCTGCTTTCTCAGTTGAGAGAGAGTTTGCTTCTAGCTCCTCAGGGAGTGGCCATCCCATCTCCGTTACGGTTTTCTGAAAGTGACCTTACACCTTTGATCTCTTCTAGAGTGTTTTTACGATAGAT